ACTTGGCCGCCCTCGTCACGGTACCCGGCCGCGGCGACGACGCGGCAGACGGCGCAGACGACGGCACCGTCCACTCGCTGGCGTCCGAGGCGTCGGCGTCGCCGTCGGAAAAGTCGCTCGGGCTGCGGAACATGGGCGAGCTGCCGTCGATCTCGGACGCCTTGACGCTTCGCACCGGCAGCAGCTCCGGACGGCTGCGCGGCAGCCTCGTCACGGCCTCGGTGGCCGGCACGTCGCCGAGGCTGTCAAAGGCATCCAGCTCCTCTTCATCCCGCTCGACCACGACGGCGCCGCTGCCGCCGCCGCCGCCACCGTTGGCCGCGTTCCAGTCGGCGGTGCCGTATCTCCTGTGCAGAGCGAAGCGGCTCGGCGTGGCTTCGGGCACCAGCTTGCGCACAAACGCGGTGCAGCGCGTGCGGAAGCGCTGGCCGCGGTGCGGGTGGAAGAAATCGTACGTCATCTGGTCGAGCTCGTGCTGGCGGAAGACCTGGAAGTGCTGGCGCAGCGTCGCCCCTTCGCGCCGGCCGGCGAAGAGGTAGGCGAGGTACTTGGCCTTGTTGGTCACCCGCTGGTCGGCCAGCGATCGGTCATCGACCTCCTGCCCCACGACGGGAAGCAAGGCCCGCGTCCACGGCGCCGCGCTCGAGAGGAGGCCGGTACGGTCGTGGGCCACGTCGCGCACCTTGGCCGTGACGATGCGCTGGACTACGTGCTTGACCTCGTCGATGACGGCCTGGGCGCCGAGGTGGCCCTGGCCGAGGACGTGGTCGACCAGGCCCACCGCCTTGGCCTCGGCCGCGCTGAGCGGCAGCATGCCGCGCGCCAGCTTCGAGGCGACGGCGGCGCCACAGCGCTGGTACCAGCTGTAGGTGTGCCACTCGGAGCCGTAGAGGCCGAGGCCGCGGTAGTGCGGGTTGTGCACGGCATGCTCGACCGACAGCACCACGTCGGCCGCCGTCGCGACCGCCAGGCCACCGGCTGCGGCGTTGCCGCGCATCGCCGCAAACGTCAGGACGCCGTGCGGCGCCAGGAGCGCCTCGACGCAGTCGTCGATGGCGTTGATGTTGGCCCAGCCCTCGGCCGCTGGGTCCGAGGAGCCCTCGATGACGTTGAGGGCGATGCCGTTGGAAAAGTAGCCCGAGCCTCCCATCATGACGATGGCCTTGAGCCCGGGCTGGGCCAGCGTCCAGTGGATGGCCTCGAGCAGCAGCTCGCACTGCAGCGTCGAAAAGGCGCCATTGTAGAACTCCGAGTAGACATAGCCGACGGTGGCGCCCTCGCCGTACCACTCAAGCTCGACATAGACCTGCTGGTAGGTGCCCGGGCGGCGGCGCCAGGGCGCCGAGGGGTCCGCCCCGAAGCCGGCGGTAGGGCTCCACTCGTCGACGCGGTCGAGCAGGCCGAGGTCGCGCGCCAGCTCGGGCATCGAGAGCAGGCACATGACGGCGGGCAGCTTGGGGTGGAGCTGCCGGTCGGTCTTAGCCTTGGGCCGGCGAAGGTGGCAGATCCAGATGGGCAGGTCGGCGCCGACGGTGACGAGAACCGCTCCCTCTCGCGTCGCCAGCACCGTGCCGCTGGGTGCCTCGCGGGCCAGGGCGGCCATGGCCTCGGGGAGCGGATCGCGTTGGACGACGGCGCCGTAGACGAAGAGCGGCTTGCCGAGCAGGCTGGTCAGAACGCCTGGCTGCGAGTCGGCAGAGTTGATCCGCTGAACGATGGCGTCTGCGCAGAGGGGCCCGCTGCCGTTGGCGCGGCCCTGGAAGAGGAAGTCGCGCATCGACGCCTTGAGCAGCGGTCTCTCGTGCGTCTTGCCCCCGAGGAAGGGCATGCCGCTGCTGACGCACTCGATGCCAGCATTCACGGGCGCCGGCAGCGAGGGAGGGTAGGACCGCGTCCCCTGGGCGGCCGCCTGGATGCGGTCGATGGCGGCCAGCACGCCGTTGAGGGCGGCGCGCGTCACGGGCCCGCGGTAGAGGTCGCTCTTTGTCATGCTGCGGGCCTGTTCGTCGAGCGGAAACTGGTCAAAAGCCCAGATGGGTCCTGCGTCGAGCGCCTCGATGGCCTGCAGCACCGTGACGCCCCAGTGCGAGCGCATGGCGGCGGTGGTGGTCTGTGGCGGCGCCGAGGCAGAGTGACGCGCGTCGATGGCGGCCAGCTGAGCCTCTGCCGTGTCGGCCTCGCCCATGTCGCCAAAGAGGCACCAGTCGATGGCCGAGGGCCCTGCATCGCCGGGTGGGCCCGGGTGGACGATGAGGGTGAGCCAGCGCGAGTAGACCTCGGGAGGGACGCGCTTGGTGAGGAAAGGGCAGACGACAATGTCGGGCGCGGCGAGCTCGGCGGCCGAGATCATGAGCTGCGGCGAGAGGGCCAGCTCCACTGTCACGGCATGGCCGCGAGACTTGAGCACAAGGGCCAGTCGCTGCGGGAGTGGCGTGGCGCGTGGAGGCGATCGGGGAGAGGATGCACAATTTGGCAAGGGAAGCGCGATGGAGGCATGGTCAGCATGGTGGCGTCACGGCGGCGGCGCGGCCGGGAGTAGAGGATGATGGAACAGGGCGGGAAGACTGGCTTACCTGGGATAGCGAGTTGAAGGCGGTGCAGAGGAAGAGGATCTTCATCCTGGGCTGCCAGGCGTCGCTCGGGGAGGGAAGGGTGCAGGGGACAGGGGCGGTCGAGGCGGCGTCCGGCGCACGTCGATGGGCGGTTCACGGGTGGCGGCGATGTGCGCGGGAACAGGATCAGCCCGAGATGCTGTATCGGAGGCGGAGGAGAGATGAAGCGAGAAGAGGAGGGGGTGAGAAGGAGAGGGAGGAGGAGGACAAGGAGGAGGACGACGTCGGGCTGGCTCACGGAGGACGTTTGGCCTGGCTCTCTGTGGCTTATATCCACCTGCCCTCGAGAGGGGGTCAGCGGTACAGAGAGCGCCGGACGGGCAGGCCAACGACGAGCAGCGACCGGGGCGAAGGCGGCCCACCCCTGCTCGCTTCGACGTCCGTCTGTGCCGCCGTACATACACCCTGGTGAAGAGGGCAGGGAGGGCCGGGAGGGCCGGGAGGGCCGGGAGGGCAGGACGGTAGCGTGGTCCAAGTCGGTGCTGGCTCAGGCCGGTAAGGTGGATCTGCACTTGGCCGACGTCGGCGCCCACCGGCCAGCCAGCCGACCTTAGCCTGCCTTCGGCCTTGGGTGGGTCGGAAGGGATGCCGGGTGGCCTCTACAGTATGTACCGCACTCTCTGGGATGGGTCCCACGGCCGCATCTCTGTGGCTGTACACGCTACCAAGGGCGAGGGGTGAGGGGCGAGGGCGTCGGGCGCACCGACGACGCTAGGCCGCCTCTTCGGCAGAGCGCGCCATTTCCGTACTGCCGCCGCTGCTGCTGCCTGTCGGGCCGATCCCGGCGCCTTCTGGGTTTCCTTGACCGCTTTGCATGATTGCAAGCAGACGGCTGCGCCGACGTCGGTGGGTGGGAAAAGCGGGCAGAGGCGGAGCAACCGAAATGAAGGGGGCTCCCTTGGCGGCGCTGCGACACGAGGCAGAGGTCGGGGCCATGGTCAGAGATGACGGGGGAAGGAGCGGGTCGGGATGGCAAGCAGAAGCGAAGAAGCAGCCAGCCAGGCCCCCCGACAAAAGTCCCACGAAGGCAAGCACGCTCGCACGCACAGCCTGCCAGGCCAAGACGTTCGAGTGCAGGCCAGGCTATGCCATGCCATGTCGTGCCGTGCCATGCATGCACCCTATGCCTAGGCGGGCAAAGCAGACGTCCAGCGCAGAGACTGGCGGTGGGCGTCGATACCCAGCGAGGCGGGGCGACCGCTCAGGCACCACCTACCACCAGCCGCGTTCCCAGCCTGCCTCTCTCCCGTGCTTGCCACGCGTTCCTCTTGACTTGCTATCGACCTCGACAGCACGGCTGCCAGGCTACTACTGTAGGAAGGGCAAGGGCACCGAATCAGCTGCAAGGGGCTTGCTTGCCTCTGGGTTGGCTCGATCTTCCCTCGCCCTCGCCTCGCCCCGTTTCCGTCAGGGTCCTTTCTGTGCCTGGATCCAGCCTGGCCCCGCGTCTCGTGTCGCCCTTTGCGAGCGGACGACGACATGCCCATCGATGGGCATACTCTGAGCATCACCACCAGCCTCAGGTTCGCGAGCCCATCGCTGGTCTGATCCGATTCGCAGCAGCACCTCGGGGCATCCACGTTCTACTTCATATGTACATCGCTCGGCGTAGCGCACTGCCCTGCCCTGCGTGACGATATGATGTGATGTGATGCGACGTCGTGGCGTGGTGAGGTGGGGTGTGGTGGCGTGTGGGAACGCGCCCCGCCCGAGCGACGGCCTTCATTTTCGGACACGCCACCCAACTCTAATCCCCAATAGGAGCCAGCCCGCCGCGGACAGACAGGAGAAGGAGAGGCTGACACGGATCACGACCCGCCGAACAGCAGCGGGTGGGGGCACGCCCAGTGCAGACGTCAGCACCCGCCCGCGACCCCATCGTACACAGCATTGATCGACAAAGGAGCGTGGGAGAAAGGCGATCCTTTGACGTCTGTCTGACTGTCCACTCTGCTGTCAGGGTGCACAAGGCGACAGAGAGATGGACGTGATATGTAGCTGATGGGGCCGAGGCGAAAGCAGTGACGGCCGGAAGCAGGAGCACGCGACAAGACCGAAAAAAGAGGCGCAAAGCGGCGTCCCCAGATCCAACGCCTCTTTTGCCATACGGCGTCTCGGCCAGCTCGACGACAACCACAACGGACGGCGCCGCCACGCACGCACGCACGCTGCCCGTGGGAAGCTGTCATGAACGTGCGTACCGCGGGTCGGTCCACAGCATGCGGGCCACAAGCAAGCATGGGCACAACGAACACGCTCAAAGGCAGCGACGCGACGGCCAGCACGTCCCATGATGGCTCTGGGTGGCTGCTTTGTTTGTGGCTTCGTTCTGGTTCTGGTTCTGGTTCTGGTTCTGGTTCTGGTTCTGGAGCGTGCAACGGACACCTGCGACCGTGCAACCGTACTGCCGGCGGACTGTCACGCCGTCCGCTCCCCATCCAAAAGTGGCCTCGGCTTGCTTGCGATCATCAGCGACGGTGAGACTCGTACCGACGTTGTCGCAGCCGAGTGTGCGCCCCAGCCCCTCCTTGCCTGAATCAACAGGCCAGGGACTGGCGGGGCTCAGCGGGCGTCGACCACGATGTCGAAGACGGTGACGCCCAAGGCAGGGAGAGAGGGGGGAGAGGTCATCATCACTAGCCCTACTGCTCTCCCACGCGTCCCTTTGGCCCTCTTTCTGTCGGGCCTGGCCCGGTCCGCTCATCGGCGGCGCTCCTGACATGCGACCCCAAAGGGCGGCGGGCGAGGGCGTCTGTACGGCCAACTCCGACGAGGGGGTGTGGGGTGGCACAGAGGGAGGGAGGCCGGGAGCGAAGTCAGCGTTGAAATCAATATCATGCAGGTCCGCCCCTGCCCCGATGTTTCGCCGCCTGGAAATCTTCCGACACGAGGGCGAGGGCGCGGTCGAGGTCGCTCGCTCGCCTGCTTGCTGCTTGCTTGCTTGTGCTCCCTTGCTGTCCCTCGCTGCTGCGTCTTTGCCCTCATCAGCGTGGCATCGACTTGTGGGCCACGACGAAGGGGGACCCAGCTCAGCATCAACTAACTACGACCGACGCAGCCGCAGCAAAGGAAGCAGGCTCCTGCCCGCTTCCCTTTGCTTGACTTACGCCCACGGCCTCGGCGACGGGACTGCAAAGCATGGACCCCCAGCCTGCCTGTTGCTGGTACGGTGCAGGACATGCGGTACGGCGCTCACGGTACCATGGGCCATGCTCGAGCATCCTTCCTGCCTTCTTTGCCTGCAGCTCGAGCGAGGTGTGGGAACGCTCCACGGACATCTCTATCGGCCGTTGGTTTTGCAACAGGCCCTTCGACAAGCATCGGGTAGTCGACTGCGATTGCGTCGGGGCCTCCCCGATTGTTCGTCGGCCGTACGTCTGATGCCCGCCTCGGTAGTTCGATGCTACTTTGATCTGTGTCGCGATGCAGACCGACGATGCCAGGCAGAGTCATCCCTCTCACTCGCGAGAGCCATCGATCGCACAAGAGGCCTGAGCTCCGTATCTTGTCCGGCACTCTGGTTGTCGAGATCGTGGAACAGAGGCGGTCCTCGCCGCCCACACGGTCGCTGATAGCCGTGATTCACCGACGAACAAGGGATCCGGCCTAGACGCGGCGATGCCTTGTGGCCTGACGTCGCGACCGACGGGCTACGGTGCGGCTATGTAGGACTGGCGGTCAAGGCTCGCGGAGATCGGCCTTCCATCCGAGGTGGTCGGGGGCCAGTCAGGCCGGAATCGCTCGTGTAGCCGAAGGCGCAGAACGGCGGCGACGACGTGTGGGCGTGCGCGTGCGTGCGCTGGCATGGCAACCGACCCTCGGGACGATCCGATACCAGCTAGCTTGGTCGCACCGTTGTCGAAAAGTCGGCAGCAGCAATGGCGACATGCCAGAGTCATGGACTACCGGGCTCAACTCAAATGATACGTACGGCTGGGCCGATACGAGAGGTGAGCGGTGGTGATCGTGGTGGTGGTGGGCGGTCAGGATGGCGCGCAGTCGTCGGCCCACTGGCAAGCCAGCCCGGTGGTTTGTTCGGAACGCGGCCCGCTTGCCGGCCTGGCCGTACGCGTGTGCCACCCGCCTCTGGCTGAGACATGCACAACAGGTAGGCCGGCTGGCACGCGCATGGTCTCGCTCGGCCGGGCACCCGGCCAGAGTAGAGGCAGGCAGGCAGGCAGGCTAGGCGTGCGCTCGTGTTGTTCTTTCGGTTGGACCGGAAACGCGCCTGGCCCCCGGCCTAGCGCGGTGCCTGGGGCTTGTGCGACGCCAACGCCGCTAACTTAGCGAGGCCGGCCCGCTGATCCTTCTTTCCTTCTTTTCCACCTCTCGACCCCCCCTGGCCTCAGCTGGCCTAGCCTGTGTGACGTGGCTCGTCGACCAATCAACGACGACGGCGGCAGGCCCAGGCCACAGACATGCTCCACCTTGGCAACACTTCGTCCGCGTCCGCCGTACGTTGCCGTGCGACGTGGTGGAACGACGGCGACGGCGACGGGCCCGTCCATTGGTACCGCTCCGCTCGCCTCCTCGCTATTCTTTCTGGCCGCTGTGCCCGATTGCGGGGGTAGGGCCAGCTTCTACTCCTCTTACATGCCGCCGGGCAGCTGCCCGACTTCGAGGTAGATCGACCTGCTCGACCGCGTTCTGCTGCCAGACTGCGGCATCGATCGCGAGCGCAGATGCGGCAAGCCACCCACGGCACAGCAGCGGTTGCCTGCGACCGCGACACCGGCCCTAGCCTGCCCGGCCTGTCGACGTTGACGGCAACGCGCTGTCGCCTAGCCTGCCTCCTGGCCATCGTCGTTGGGTTCTAAACCACCCCGGCCAGGCCTCTTCTGGCCATCCACGCCATGTCACTGCTTGCTTACTGCTGGGCATCGGCCGATGGCGTCGAACCCTCTCTTCGGTTCGATGGATCCAGCTGGCTCCGAAGCATAACCATGCTCTCTAGCCAGAGCCTGGGCCTCGAACGGGCAGATACCAGTAGCCAGGCTAGGGCAGAGTCGGAGGTCGGGTCAAGCAGGGGCCCGCTGGACCCTTCTGCACACCGACAACACACGCAACAGCGCTGCGGGCTCAGCAGCAGCAGGCAGGCACGCAGTTAGCCAGCCTGCGCCCCTACGGTCCGCATGGTGCGGCATGGTCTCGAGCACCAGCTCAGCCCCGCACGCCTGCCGGACGACCAGGCCAGGCCTACCAGGCCGGCCGCAGAGGTAGGCCAGCCGGTCTCCTTGCGGCACCCTGTTTTGTCCCCCTTTGTCTTGGCGTCCTGCCCGGTTCCTCGACCACTCGCCGCTCTTTGTTCGTTCCGTTTTCCCCGTTGCCATCGTCGTCGTGATCACCACCACCATCACCGCCGTCACTACCATCACCGCCTCTCGCCGTTATCGCTGTCGCGCCACCTTCCACACACATACCCACCTCTTATTTCCATCGACGCAAGCAGCCCGCACCAAGAAGATGAAGACCTTTGCCGTCGCCGCCGCCCTGGCCTCGGCATTCGCCGCCGTCCAGGCCTTTGAGGTCAGCTTCCCCAACGACAACGGTAAGCGTTCTCGATCACCAGTTGTAGCAAACCAGGCCACAACGACCAAGATCAGGCTGCTCACGCCAGTCTGCCTCTGACCCTCTTGCACGCCCTCTCGCGACGACCATTCCAACATGGCCCTGCACCGACTCCAGGCGGCTACTGGGTGGTGAGTGGATGCATGCTGGCGCTCGAGGTCGTGTGGCAGTCTCCGCCGCCTCTGTACTGATCTGAAGGGATCGCTGACGTCCGCATATGTTGCGCTCTGACTGTTCCCTCACCGCCCCGCACTTGCTTCTTGGCCGCGGCAGACCAACTACACCAACACCCTTGTAAGCATCGGTCGCATTGCCACGGTGGCCGGCGCAACACACCGTGGCCTGCATCACTCACACCCAGCCTGCCCGTCCTTCCATCCCGACACCATCTCTACCTCCTCGGCATCGACATAGAACTGGAAAGGTGAGCAGAGGTGACCCTCCTCCGAGTCGCGTTTCTCGTTTCGCTGCGCATACTGACTCGTCTCCTCCGACCGCGTCGCCATCGCGCCATCAGCCAACTCGAGCGACGCCAGCTTCTTCTCCGTCCAGCTGCTCAACTCGAACAACAGCCAGCTCAACGGCAACTTCCAAATTGGCAATGCCCTGACGACTGCCGTGAGTGTGGCTGGCAGTCGGTCGCCGGGCCGATGTCCCGACCAGCGGCGCAGCTGACCGACGCTCGTCCTCGCTTGCTCTCTCTCTCTCTTTCAATACGACCATCCGTCCGCACCGCAGAACGGCTCGTCGCAGATCTTCATTGATCAGATCCCGACCGGCACCTACAAGCTGCTCTTTGTCAACTCGTCCAACTACGAGCTCGATCGCCCGCAGGTCTACTTTGGTGAGTGGCGGCCGACGGGCAGGCGGGCGAGCCGCGGCGCAACGACCAGACAGAACCCGCGTAGCTGACCGCGCACAACCTCGCTCCATGCCGGCCACCGTCGCGCCCGACAGAGTCGACGTCGTTCGAGATCAAGCCCAACGGCACCACGCCTGCCCAGGTGACGGCCAACACCAACGCGGACCCCAACAGCCAGGCCGACAAGCCGGCCACGGGCTCTGCGTCGGCCACGCTGTCGTCTGCCTCGAACACGGCGTCGGCCAAGCCGTCGTCGAACAACAGCAACGGCGCCTCGAGCACCGGCGGAGGCATGGCGGCCGCCGTCTACGGCACCCTTCTGGCGGCGAGCCTCGGACTCGGCCTGGGTCTGGTGGCATGAGCGCAGCTGTGCCCGCCCCATTCGCCGCGGCACCCGGTGCGCCATTCCACCGTCCACCGTCCAAAAGCGCAGGCCGGACCGAACCGCTCGCGGCTCGCCTGCCATGTTCATCTGCGGGACGATGCGCTGCGCTCGCCGCGACATGCGCCGCCGTCTCGCCCTCACCCTCCTTTGATCCCCGTCTCGATCGTTGTCGGACCTTCGATGGCGCCGTGCTTGACCGTGCGTACCTTGTCGCATGGGCTTTGCGTGTCCTGATCGCCTCGCCGCCGAACTGGTGCGCCGAATCGATGGCGGCCGACGCTCTTTATCAGCCCGAGCTAGCTACACAGCTTTGCCCGTCGTCCTCTGCATCTCTGTTTCCGCCTGCAACATCTGTCGTCGATACCCCGCCCGCCTTGACCCTCGGCCCGAAGTCGATCTGTGCCTGTGTGGGAGCGGTGGGACAGGGCTTGCGTCGACGGTGCGAGCTGGGCCGGGACGACGTAGGAGCAAGCAGACCCTTGCCCGAGCAGACGCTGGCCGCCACGCGGTGGCGTGCCACGAGGCTATCCGGCAAGCGGGGACCCGAGCGAACGAGGGCTGAACAAAGATCGATCGAGTCGCAGGGTGCGGTGCGGACGGCAGTTGAGCGGTTGGTAGGGCGGAGACCGCGCTCGCACGGGCGCACACCTGCGCCTGCCTGTCGCCCTGGCCTGGCCTGGCCTGCCCTGGCCTGCCCTGCTTTTCTGTGCGGATTAATCGCGGTTTGGCGTGCGTCGCAGCTGCTTTTTTTGTTGCTCGGGCCGGCGGGCGGTGGGCGGCGGGCGCAGGCCGGCGTTGGGTCTCCCTTCTGGCAGCGAACCGACCACCGGGCGGGCGGGCGGTCGGGCAGGCGTGCGGTCGGTCGGTCGGTCGGTCAGCCCCGCGGCTGCCAGAGGGCTGCACTGCACCGCCTGCCGGGCTACAGTTAGCTCGGCAGCCCCTTCCCTTAGCTTGCCTGGCTGTACCCCTTTTCTCGTCTCACCTCGTCGAGTCGACAAACTCCTTCTCGCCCGGTCTTCAAGCAGCACATTACCACCGCCACCGCCATCACCACCACCATCACCATCGACCTATCGCCCCAGCCTCATACACCCCGTAGCCCGGCAGCACGGACCGGCGTCGTCGCACGACAACCTCGCCGCTCGGTTCTCGCATCTCCCTCTCGTCTTTCATCGCCCTATCGAGGCCACCTTGCCGCGCCACCATCTTCCTACGCTGCCTCGCTGGTCGAGCTCGATCACCGTCGATCCAAGACGTCTTCGCGCGGCCCTATCGCTCCTCGTACTGCCTTGACCTTCCGAGGCGACGCCTCGCAAGCGTCCTCTCACGCCGGAAAGCGATACCGCTCTCGTCACCGCCTCGTCCACCACCGCCTCGAGAGAATGGCTCTCGGCGGCCGCTGAGCAAGCGGTCTCGTCCTGGAGCGCGACCCTCTCGGTCCCTGCTGTAACGCTGCTTCACTTCTGTGGCTACCGCTCCGCCCTCTTTCGACTGTCACCGCCCGATACCCCCGACACCATCTCACTGCCACGCCATTCTTCCTCGACCGGACCGTCCAGTGAAGCGGCACATTCGCCCACCAAGCCGGAAGCAGCAGCGCTAGCGGTCGCGGCTCGATGGCGGCCACTCTGCCCTTTTCGCGGAGCTACGCTCACCAGGCCGTCCTCGACGCCTCCGCCGAATTCGGGCAGGCAGACCCCTACGACCAATGGGGCCCCAACTCGGTCCCGCCTTCCTCCGGCTCCAACATACCCTGGGACGAGCAGGTGGTGCCTGCGCTGCGCAAGAAGCTCGAGAGGGAGAGCAACAAGCTCGGCAAACGCATCAGCGCCATCGAGGCCAGCGACGGGGGCTGGACCGCCAGCGCCCTACGCTCCAGGGAGAGCATCGAGCGGAGGGACTCGAGGCCATCGGCCCAGCTGCGTCGGTCCACGCTCGATGACGAGGAGCAGGCGGTGGAGGAGGAGCTCGGCGTCTCCCGAGATGCTGGCCTCGGCCGCCACAATGCGTACGGTCCGGGAGATGGCGAGACGACGGCGGCGCTGGGCGGCGGCGCAGGAGGCGGTGCCACGCGGACCCCGTCTTCGGCTTCACACGCGAGGGCGAGGGTGCAGTCGTCGATGGCGGCGATGCGGCCCTTGAATGGCGACCTCGCCCGCGCAAGCTCGCAGAAGCGCAACGGTCCCCCGCGAGATGACGCCACCGCGAGGGCCGTGGAAAGGGCTCGCAGGCTGGCACGGGAGCGGGCCGAATCGATCCGGGCAAGCTCACCACTGGAGAGCCCGACGTCGCGGAGTGGACACGGTGATCTCCGGCGCGACAGCTATCAAAGACGGGACAGCTCGATCTACGAGCACCAGCGGCAGACGGCCTTTCCAGGGCAGAACGGAGAGCACCGATCGGCAGTCCCGGGAGCAGTGCAGCAGAGCCAGCAGCAGTCGCAGCCGCCGCAGCAGCCACGGCAGGCCGGGTCGAGCTTCGAACAGAAGCGGCTGCGCACCCACTCGACGCCAATGAAGTACGCCGGCCCCTCAAGCGGCAGGCGGCCGAGCGCCAACAAGGGGCGCGCGGCAGCGGCATCGGAATCGACAGACTACCCGACCACGCCACAGCCACCGAATGGCCGCTCGCACGCCGAGGCGGACCGGACACCGGCATCCAGCCACGGGCCTCACCGCGAGACCGGATCTTCTCCGTCGTCGGCGGGCCGGCAGCCGCTATCGCGGGCCGAGCGGAACACGCCTCCCCACGATCAGCCCCTCGACGAGTTCGGCCCACTGGGCGGCGTCAAGCCGGACTCGGCCAAATCGACGCCCACTCGGGTTGCTTCGAAACGCTCGAACCCCACGTTGCAGCCGGACGCATTCCGCTCGCTGTCGCCGCACCGCTACGTGGCAGGCGCTGGCGATGGCGCCGTCCAGGGCAACGGCCACCTGAGCGCGCCCGGCGAGTTTGGGCACATTGGCCCGGCGCCGGTCGTCTCGGTGTCGAAGCCGACCTCGGCCAATGCGTGGGACGACGAGATCGTCCCGACTGTGGCCAGAAGGCTGCAGCAGCAGATGCTCATGGCGGGCGATCCGAGGCTCAGCCACGTCGACGGTCTGATTGATACGTGGGACCGCAACGGGCTGCCGCTGAGCAAGAGCGAGGTGGCGCGCCGGATCAAGCAGGTCCAGGAAGAGGCTGCGGCGGAGCGACGCGGGCAGCAGGGCGGCCAGGCCGGCGCCGGTGCCGCGGCCTACGACGGGGGACCTGCCAACGCCGCGCAGGACGGGCAGGGCAGGTCCGATGAGGCTATCCGAGCAGCAGAGGCAGCCCTGGCTGGAAAAGAAGGCGAGCAGCAGCAGCAGCAGCAGCAGCAGCAGCAGCAGCAGCAGCAGCAGCAGCAGCAGCAGCAGCAGCACGCACATGACACTGCGATGCAGCGCAGCCGGGACGCCGATGTCGAGGCCGACGGTGCGCGCGGCCAGGCGTCCTACGAGATGCAGTCGCTGCACCAGCCGACGCAGGACGACCGGCACAACAAGTCGAGCCGCAGCCGTCATTCGCACGCCGAAGAGTCGGCTCACCAGACGAGCTACGACGTGACCCAGCAGCATCGTCAGCAGCAGCGGCAGTATCAGTACGACCAGCAGCAGCACCAGCAGCAGCAGCAGCAGCAGCAACAGGCCGAGCAGCTGTTCCAGCCTGCGCCTGCGCCCCAGATGGCGACCAGCTCGCAGCCGCCGCAGCCGAGGCCCGGCGGCGCCGCTCAGAAGAAGACGGACGAGGATGCGGGATGCTGCAAGTGCAACGTCATGTAGGGCAGGTCGGCCCTTTGCCGCCGCCACCTTGTTCCACCTGCCGGAGCGACGCGCGCCGCCCTCAGCCAGCCAGACGCCCGCCTGGCCGCGCTGGCTTTCCGAACGACCGGTTGGCTACAGCTCAAACTGTCTGAGCGCCGACCTGGCCAGAGACAGGCTCCATCCAACCTTGACTTGCTTTCACCCATCCGACTCCATCCCATCGGGTCCAGTACGGGCCCCACTAGTAATTCTGGCCCTGCGCCGCCGTGGGCCTGCTTCGGGCCCAGCTCGGCCCAGCCCATCCACCCATTCCTTCATCGCGTCCAGCTCAACCTTTGTATACCTATCGCCCCACACTCATAATCCCACACATTCACTCACGAGCGCACACCTATGTCGAGTCGGTACAGATTGATGTTGGAGTGGCTGAAGCGGCGCGGCGTCGTGCTGGTGGTGCCGAGGCAGGGAGAGGCAGGCGGGGCGGGGCCTTCGGAACCGAACCGAAATTGGCTGGGCTGGGTGGAGCGAGGCTCGGGCTCGACGCCGCACGGGTCACTGAGCCAGCGTTGCGGGTGCGGGTGCGGCAGGGTCAGGGCAGGGCAGGGTCAGGCAGGGCCCGAACGTCGATGCGTCTGCTCGTGGGGTTGCGGCATTCCTTGCTTCTTTCCCCGCCTTCACACCCGTCACCGCCACGCCTCACCACCATCCAACTCCCGACGAAAACGATGCGGGGTCTCAGCGCGATACTCTGTTCTTCCCTCCTCGTCCTCTCCACCGCCGCTGCCGCTGGCGTCTCGGCGACGACGTTGGACGGCGCGGAAGCCAAGACGTATACGCTCTACCACCGTCTTTCCACCACCACCGGCCGCGGAGGCAACGGCAACGGCAACGGCAACGGAGATTGGACGCCGAGGGCGCGGGTCCACGTTGGTTCGAGTGTGGAGCTCGAGAGTCTGGTCGGGAGGGAGGAGTGGGAGACCATCAAGGACGCTGCGATCAAGACGACGGGGAGGAAGGAGAGGTACGAGGTCCTCCTCGTCGCCCCGCAGCATGAGGGCAGCTTCGTTGATGCCGAGGCTGCAAACGAGGGCGTACAGACTTTCGTACCGCTCGTGAGTGTCGCTGCTCCTCTTGCCCTCCTCGTGGTAGCCACCGCTGCTCACACCCACACACACGCACACATTCCCCTACCACCTCGACCCCACACCCTTGCAGTGCCACCTGCGTCAATCCACTCCATCCCTCTCGGCGCTCTACGACCAGCTGACATTCCACGTGCGGCACGGCGACATCGCCTCGTTCGGCTACGCCGTCAAGGACATCCAGCTCGATGCATCCGGCTGTCCCATCCCGGACGAGACGAGGGCCAAGCAGATTGACGACGCCGAAAAGAGGGACCGCGCCAAGCGCAAGGCCGGCCTGGTGCGCCTCCGACGCATGGGCAAAGACGTCTCGCACCTCGAAAGGCAGGAGGAGGAGCGCCAACGCGCCGTCCAGATGGCCTGGAGGTCCGATGTCGTCGTCAAGCGGCCCGAGACGGTTGCGGCGTAAGTCGTCGCTCGATGGCCGTCCATCGTAACGTTCCTCGATTCGTACTGAATCGGACCCCCCCTTACTTCCATCCCTCTATCCTACACACACCCACCACCGCCCACAGACCGCTGCTGCGCACGCCACCGCCGACCAAGGACGACGGGACGATCCGGCAGCCCGAGCCGGAAAAGTCGTTTGTGCAAAAGTACTGGTACTACATTGTGCCGATGCTCCTCGTCATGCTGCTGCCCGCCGACGAGAAAAAGGAGCAGCAGGACGGCCAGCAGGCCACCCAGGCCCAGTCGTTGGGCCAGGGCGCGAGGCAGATCAAGTCCTAGCCCGGCGCTCCTTCAGGACGGGCGGGGAGACATGCCCGCTCGTCGTAGCACAGGAGCGAGTCGAGTCGAGTCGAGTCGAGTCGAGTCGATGGCAATGGCATGGGAGGGGAGTGCAGCATTCTGTCGTGCTGACAAGTGATGAGGGTATACAAATACAAGAGGTGCCGATGAAAGCACACAGGCCACACGCGAGAGAGGGAGAGCGAGAGGGCGAGACGACGACGACGACGACGACGACGACATCAGAAGCCGCCCTTGCGCTTCCGGCCCGTGTACTTGGAGTCGTGGGGCACCTGTGAGAGAGGGACCAGGGGGGCGTGGAGGCGCAGAGCAAGACGGGTGGGTGAGCCGGCGATGCTCGTCTCATCCCCTTTGCCAAAGGGTCCAGGGCGGCATCGACACTCACGTCCTTTCCGCGGAGCTTGTTGAGTTCCTTTTTGCGCAGGATGTACTCCTTTGTCGTCTCGCCGCTCTTTTTCTTCTTGCCCTTGCGCGCCTTGTCCGACCTCCTCGTCTCGTACTTGACCTTCGCTCCGGTTGCCGTGCCGCTGCCGCCATCCTCGTGATCATGCACGAGACCCTGTGGCAGCTCCTGTTTGGCCACCTGGCCGTTGGGACCGACGCTCATCTCGCCGCCGACCCAGAGGACGAGGTAGAATTTCTTGGCCTTGCGCGAGTTGGGGAAGTCGACGACCAGGCCGCCGCCGAAGCCGGCTTTTGTGGCAAACGACATGATGAAGGTGACCTGCTCGTCGTTTTCCGGGTAGAACTGGAAGACGGCGCGCGAGCCGCGCGAGAGGGACGAGTAGAGGGTCTGGAAAAAGGTGGCGAGGCGGGCGGCGGGCGAGTGGGCCGTCGAGTCGGCGTTGCAGAGCCACTGGAGGACCGATATGCTGCAAGACGAGGCCACCGAAGGTGTGGAAATGAATCAAGGGGAGGAGAACGGGGGAACAGGGTCAGCTGCGGGCCGAGGACACGAGGGTGACTGGACAGCGGCGCGGGGGCATGGACGCACCTGATTGCGCCGTCAAAGCTGCCGGCTCTGAATCCGCATCCCTGGCCCACGTCTGCGAGCATGATGTCGCCCTCGGTGTCCCTCTCAAGTGCGACCTCGAGCATCGAGGGCGAGATGTCCATGCCCACCCACTCGTGGCCGTGGTCGGTGAGGATCTCACCCGAGAGGCCCGAGCCGCAGCCAATGTCGAGGAGCAGCGCCGGCTTGCGGTGCTCGGGCAGCATCAGGAGCTCGAGCGCGCGCTCCGTCATTTCTGCCTGGATCGTCTGCACGCGCGTGCTGGTGGGCGGCGGTGCGGCAGATGTGAGAGGGCGGATGTGAGTGTGTCAAAGACTCGCCCCTGCTGGCATAGCAAGGCAGGGCAGGGGGAGGGGAGGGGAGGGGACTCACTTTGCCGTGTACTTTGACGCCTCGACATCGCCGTAGAAGATTTCCGGGGGGGCGAGGTGTTCTGGCCTGCTCATGGTGGCGGGTGATCCGGTGGGCGGACGTGTGAGTGGTGCGAAGTGAGGGTGAGTATGAGGGCAAGGGCGACGGGACGAGGCCGATGGTGACTGCAGGCAAGGGTGAAGGTCGAGCCAGCGAGGGGCCCAACCTCCGCGCCCGCCGCTCAAAAAAGTTGCGAACGCTGCCAGGTTTCGGGAGTCGGACCGGGCCGAGCAGGGTCGAGGCGCACGTCGCAGCGACTGCCGGCCGACAGATGAGGGAGGGGGCCGGCCTCGGGTGACCCGCCAAAGTGGAGGAATGGCGCTGCACGCTTACTGAACGCAGCGGGGCAGCGGCCGAACGCTGTCGGTCTCTCTCTCTCTCTCTGTTTGTCGCCCGCTCTCCTGTCACCTCCCTTTCCCCACACATCATCACTTCCCCAAGGCCACACCTACTCTTCACCTCGCTCCTTTGATCCTCGCCCCTCTACCCATCCCACACACAGGCGTCCTCGAGCTTTCCCTACCCTGCCCCCCGGGCCCACCGCCCGCCATGCTTCGCTCCGCCAGGCTCATCACCTCGCGCCAGCATCCCGTCGCAACCAACCGTGCCAGCCATCACACCGTCGCTGCCGCCTCGTCAGCAGCCGCTCTTTGCACCACACGGCGGCAACCTTTGCCATCGTCTTCGAAGCTGCATGGCCCCCTCTGCCCATCTTCCACCCGCCATGCACCACCACGGCATGTCCCAACAACCACCACCGCCCTGCGCCGGCTAGCAACATCCGCGCCCGACTCGGCGTCGGCAGCCCCCGTCGAGGCAAACGCACTCCAAGTCACCGACCCGCTCCTCATCTACCGCGCCAAAGTGGCCCGCGGAGAGCTCGAAGAGGACGAGGAGCAGCTCCGCGCCCTCGTAGAACTGCGCCGCATCAACCGCACCCTCCGCGACTACATTCCGCCCGCACACCTCCTCGGCATCCTCAACCAGGACACCCATGCCCAGGAGGCCCAGGCCGCAAGGACCATACAGCAGCAGCGGCGCCTCGCAGAGCAGCGCAGCCAAGACGACCAAGACCCTTCCCCTGTCCCTCAGAAGGAAAAGATCGGCGACCTGGTCCGCTGGCTCAGCGACACAGAGGGCCTGGCAGAGCTCGGCACGCCAAAGGGCCTCATGATCACTGGCACCCCCGGCACGGGTAAGAGCATGGTCATGGACATCTTCTACGACAGCCTTCCCACCAAGCACAAGTTCCGCAGGCACTACCACCACCTCCTCCTTGACCTCTACAAGATCATCTGGGACGAAGCAGAGCGCAGGCGCATCGCACTCCGCCAGGGTGGCCCGCGCAAGACGGTCGCGCCCAGGAGAGGGCTCGGAGGAGTGTGGGTCAGGGAGGGAAAGGGCAAGGGTAAGGCAGCCCCGGCCAGCGACGCCAGCCCGGACAACCAGAGGGGCTGGAAGCGGCTGCTCGAGGGCATGCCCTTCATGCGCTACGACTCGCTCGAGGACAAGCCCGCCGACGCGCCCGACATCCCCGGCCCGGACGGCGACGTCGTCAAGACGACGCTGCCCCTTCACGCCGCCGCCCACCTCTTCCTCAAGCATGGCCACATCCTCCTCTTTGACGAGATCCAGCTGGTCGACGTGGCATCCGCCGGCCTTCTCCGCAGGACCCTCGAGGCCTACTGGCGCCTCGGCGGCGTCGTCATCGGCACCAGCAACCGCATCCCAAAGGACCTCTACGCCTCCAACGTCCAGCGCGGCCAGCTGACGCAGTTCCTCGAGATCCTCGGCGAGCGCTGCCCCAACTTTGAGATGCGCAAGACGCGCGACTTTCGCAGAGAGCCCTTCTACCGGGAAGAGTGGCTCAAGCGTAGGCAGCAGGCCGAAGGCGAAGGTGAAGAGGGCCAGGACGCCGCCGGCGAGGCTGCAGGGCGAGAGGCTACGGGACCCGAGTCTGCAGCGCCTCCGCGCCGGGCGACGTACTTTGTGCGCGGCGAGGAGGACGAGTTCCGCGCCGCCGCCCAAGACGCCATCCGGGGTCGCGAGGGCATTCCGGCCTCGGTCGAGGTGTACGGCCGCAAGCTGCTGATCCCTTTCAGCATCTCGGCCTCGGATGCAGGGCCCAGCGTGTGTCGATTCACGTTTGAGCAGCTGTGCGACTCGCCGCTCGGGCCCGCCGACTACCTCACGCTCGCCTCGACCTACCACACCTTTATCATCGACGCCGTGCCGCAGCTCACGCTCATGCAGAAGAACCAGGCGCGCCGCCTCATCACCCTGCTCGACGCCGTCTACGAGGCGGGATGCCGCCTCATTCTGCTCGCCGACAGCTCGCCAGACGACCTCTTCTTCCCCGACGCAAAGGACGCCGCAAGGCATGCGGCCAAGGGCGCGGCGGCGGGGCCCGGCACCATCGTCGAGGAGATCCGGGGCGGGCAGTACGTCACGAGCTCTGCCGGCGAGCACGACGACGTCGTCGACATGTCGGCCAACGGCGGCATCAACCCGTTCAAGACGCCGCCCGCGGGGCAGGCGTATCCGGAGGAGCATGAGCTGGCCGAGGCCCAGCGCCGGCAGCGGTCGTCGCAGCAGCGCGTCGACGTCGAGCGCGACGAGTTCATGAGCGACAGCCTGATTCAGATGGAGACGCTATCCGAGGCGCTGCAGGACACCGAGGAGGGCTTCCGTCCCAACATCCTGCCGTACGAGTCGCGGCCCGACCGCTCGGCCGGCGCACGCGAGGCGATGCGTGAAGAGGAGCGCGGCAAGCAGCGGCCCGAGGACGAGCTGGCGCTGCAGCGCGAAAGGGAGCTCTCGGACAAGGTCGGCTTCAAGCATCTGGCCCTCTTTTCGGGCGAGGACGAGCGGTTCGCCTACCAGCGCGCGGTGTCGCGGCTGTTTGAGATGAGCCATCCGGACTGGGTGGTCCGCAAGAGCTGGAGGCCCTTCCTCAACGGCGAGATGGACAGCTGGAAAGGGAGCGAGGCCGAGAAGCGGGAGCGCATGCGCGAGCTCGGCCAGGTGCCCGCCGTCGACGCCGCCGCCGCCTCGTCGGCCGGGGCACCGACCCCGCTTCTCGACGAGGCCCGCGCCCAGCTCGACGGCGCCAAGGCCACGGTCCGGCCGCTGCGACACACGCCCGCCGGTCTCGAGGCTGAGGGCGACTTTGCCGACGAGGCGAGCTACCAGGAGTCGACCTTCCCCGCCCGCAACGCCGACCCGTCGTACTGGACCGAGGAGCACCGGCGGTACTATGACCAGCCGAACCGTGGCGCGTCCAACGCCGGGCTCCCCGAAGATGGCAGGCCCAACTTTGACCCGGGCCCCGTGGGCAGGCGGGACCGCGAGGGTCTGCCGGTGCTGAGCGACGTGCACTTCTGGGGCGTGAGGGAGGACTGGGGCAAAAAGGCCGGTCCCTGGGGACGCGGTGCGGCCGTGTTTGAAAAGGAGGCGGCCGGCGGCGAGGGCGCTGGCAAGGGTGAGGGTGAGGGCGAGGGGAAAGGTCAAGGGTTGGACTCTGAGCTGCCTCGACCGTCGGGTGCGGCATCCTCTGGCGGCCCAGGTTCCGCCGCGTCGACGACTGCGACCACGGGCGCGACGTCGACGCCGTTCCACCCGACCGGGCGCCGATCCATGTCTACCTCGGCCACCCACGCTGGTGGCAGCAGCAGCAGCAGCAGCAGCATGAGGAGCGTGCCGCGGCGAGGCTTTTCGACGACGCGGCGCGCGGCGGCGCAGGTGGTGCCGGATCACTACAAGACGCTGCAGATCCAGCGCACGGCGTCCAAGGCGCAGATCAAGGCGCAGTTCTACAAGCTGTCCAAGGAGCTGCACCCGGACGTCAACCCGAGCGACGACGCCAAGAAAAAGTTCCAGCAGGTCAGCGAGGCGTACGCGACGCTCGGCAGCGAGACTGCGCGGTGAGTGGGTCGACCGCGGGGCGTCTACCGACTGGGCGAGCATGCCTTGCTGAAACACACACCGAGGGCCTGTCATGTTTGCGGCGCGGGCGATGGCGGCAGGCGGGTGTACGATCGGGACACTTCGGCCTCGTCGATGCAGTACGGCGGCGGTGGTGGTGCCGCGACGCCGGGATACAGCTACGACCCGACGTCGAACGCCTCGCGGCGGGCGCGCGCCACGTACGCGTGGAACCACACACGACGCTCGCACCCGTCGTCGTCGTCGTCGTCATCATCGTCGCAGCAGCGCAGCGAGTCGGCGGGCCGCCAGACGCACTCGTCGATCTTTACGCACACCAAGTCGCACTTTGAGACGCTGGCGGCGCGGCAGAGGAGGCGCGAGGAGCTCAACAACCACCGCGCTCGTTCTGGCGTCGGCGGTGCCGGCGGTCGCGCGGCGCGGCAGCACTACGACGAGACGCGCACCCTTCAGGAGGAGAGCTCGAGCGCCGTCGTGCGTTTCCTTCAGGTCGGGTTCATGCTCTACGTCGTCTTCAAGCTGGGCACCATGTTTGTCGGCTCTTCGGCCGTCGGCGCGCAGGCTGACGACGAGTGGGAGGATGTCGAGGATGTCGAGGTTGAGGTCGAGGTCGAGTGCGTGGTCAGGGCGATGAGGGGTTCGCACAGAGGAAACGAGGATGGGTTGCAGGCGTCTCGGACGTTGTAGATAGAGGCAATGGATAGAGAGAATCACAGAGGGGCGTCCTTGCCATCCTTTGTCTGTGGGCTGTCCGTAGCGGGCTGCTTTAGCTGGTGGCGGTGGTGATGCTGCTGCTGCTGCTGCTGCTGCTGGGCGTGTCCCGATTGCCGGGCGCCAAAAAAGTGTTGGCTGCGCACGGGTCCATGCGCCGAGGCAGTCATGTGGGGTTGGGTGCCGCCGCCGCCGCTGCTTCTTCCGACTCGTTCTTCTTCTTCTCCTCCTCCACCTCGATCCTCGCACCTCGACCACGCCCACCTTTGCCACCCCTTGACCACCGCAGCTCGGCCCCATCGCTCGCGCCGCGGAATCGCCGCGCGGTACAATGTCGCTCGACCTGGACTGGACGCTGCTCGACTCGGAGCTCTCGACGCGCCTCCTCTCGACGCTCAACCGCGCCCTCGAGTCGGGCGGCTCCAAGCGCCCCTCGTTCCTCGGCGACATAGCCATCACCTCGCTCGAGTTTGGCGCGCACCCGCCCGACGTCTCCATCCGCCATGTCGGCGATGTATGGACCGACTTTGTCACCCACGACGACGTGCCCGCCATCGCCGCCGTGCCCGAGCACCCGCTCGGCAACGCGGCGCAAGCTAGGACAAGAAGGACGACGCCCGACACGTTCGATGCGCCGTCTCGCCCCTCCGTGTCGCCAGAGTCGATCATGCACGATCAGCCATACGGACCCGGCCCCGAACTTGCGTCGCCCGGCACACTGCCGTTCCGGACGTATACCCAGTTCAACGACGCGCAGCCCCCGCACCGCGTCCAGGGACCGCCCAGCGTCTTTTCGGGGTCCATGGCCGCTTCGACGCCCGGATCCGTCCTCCCCTCTCCCTACCTGCCCCACCACCATAGTCAGCAGCAGCAATGGAGTGCCGCGCTCGCATCGAGGGGCATCCGAGCCGCCGGTTCCGTCGCATCCGGGCCCGGGCCGCAGCAGCCCTCGGGTCCCAACTCGCCCGATGCGCTCCCGGCCTCGATCCCACCGCAGTCGCCCGGCTACTTTGGGCACTGGCAGAATGCCGCCGGTGCCGGTGCCGGTGCCGGCGCCACTGCGGCCAGCTCGAGGAAGACCAGCTACGATGCGGCCACGACGTCGTCGTCGTTCCTCGGCCGCGGCGTAGGCCCGTCGTCGAGCATATCCAACGTCCTGCCGCGCCCGCCGACTCGGTCGGAACGCGGCCGCTTCCCCGCCGCCGCGGCTGGCGGCGCGCCGCACCACCACCAATACCACCCGGCCTCGCACCGTCCCCACCTGCGGTCAGGACAGACGACGACCTCCTCGTTCCGCACCCACTCGGGCGGCGGCGGACCGACATCACCGCCGCCGTACCTCGGCGGCCCGTCCGCTGCCCACCTGCGCCAGGATACAGACGCTCAAGATGGCGCGGCAACGACGACGACGACGACGACGACGATGCCATCGATGCAGCTCCATTTTTCGCTCAACTGGCCCACGACGACGTTCCGACTGACGATCCAGACGTCGCTGCTCATCAACTACCCGAGCCCGGCGTTTATGTCGTTGCCGTTGCAGCTGAGCGTGACGGGATTCGTGATGCGGTGTGGGCTGATCTTGTCCATCGAGGGGGAGAAGAGGAGGGTACACGTGTGTCTGCTCGAACCCGATGAGGAGGAGGAGGAGGAGCAGGGGGACGAGGGTGATGGTGTGGTGGATGAGATGGTGCCGGGGGATGGTGGAGCGGGGTGGAGGAGACGTACGACCTATACCGTCCCGCGGCCCGTCATCCCAGCCGCGGGGGCGGGGGCGGGAGCGGGAGCGGGCATCAAGACGACGCCACCCTCGGCGGGAACGCGGATCCTGCCCTCTCTTTCCTTCGAGAGCGAGGTGGGACAACCGGACAAGCACGCCCTCAAAAACGTGGGCAAGGTCGAAAAGTTTATCGCCGAGGTGCTCAGAAAGGCCATCGAGGATGAGGTGAGTTTGCTTGCGGCCTCGTCCTCGTCCTCGCCCTCGTCGTGTCGGGAGCGTCGCAACTCGTCGAGATGGCATGCGGGCTGATTCGTCCCCGACTGCTTTTGTGCGCGCGCGCGGGGTCGATGGTGGTGTCGCAGCTCGTCTTTCCGAATTACTATACCATCGACCTCCCACCACCTTGATGGACGAGGCGGCACAGAGAAACACACCGCCGTCTGCCATGCACGGCCCGGCTCGCATCTGTACTTGTACGACACCCGCAAGCCCTCGTTGCCAGAAGCTCGCGCCGCCATATCCAGGAGCGAGCAGCCAACTGAGCAACACATCACCGCGATCGGATCTGAGTCGAGTCGAGTTCACGTGATTGCAGGCAGAGTCTCGACAATGTACAACGATTCGATGATGACGACGACGACGACGACGACGACGACGACGACGACAGCGACGGCGGCTGTCACCTCGCCCTTGCTCCGCTCGCCACCTAGACGTCGACGTCATCGTCCATCCCGGCAGGGATCTCGACCTTCTGTCCCGGCTCAAACGCCGGCAGGCCGAGGAAGGGACACGAGCTGCAGCGGAACGCGTCGCCGAGGAAGCAGCTTCCACAGCTGCTGGTGGCGCCCTTTGTGTCGACCTGGATGCGCTTGACGGTGCGCGCGATGCCGTCCTTGCCCACGATGGTCTCGGTGATCTCGGTCCGCTTGCCGCCGCCAGGGGCCGCCGACGAGGGCGCCGCGTTGGGCATGTCCATGTCGTCCTGGTCGAGCTGGATGACCTCGCCCTGCATCTCGGCCTCCTGCAGCTCCTTGAGCCCGCACGTGCACCCCTTGCACGCCTTCTTTTTCTTGGACGCGCCCGGGCCCACGTCGCAGTCCGGCCGCTTGACGGCCGTAGAGGGCACAAAGTCGGCAGCGGTCAGCAGCGAAGACGGGTCGATCAGACCCGCGCCGCTGCCGCCGGCGGGTGCGGGCTGCGTGGCCCAGAGCGACGCCTTCGTTGCCCGCTCGCCGCCTGAGACTGACCG